AGCTGCTCCTTCTCCTCTCTCTACTGCTTCTAGTGCTACTCCTCCTCTTTCACTGGGAGGTAGTGTGTCGTTGTCTAGTGGTTTTACCAGTACCATCGGGGCTCCGTTGTTTATGCAAAGTCAGCAACCAGTTTCGGGTCCTAGTACTACATTTACGCTCCCTAAATCTGATTTCAATAAGGGGGCCCTCTTGGGGTTGAAATTTGAAACCCCGCCCCCTCCAGTCCTCACCACTGCATCAAGCGAAGGATCAACTCAATCTCAACCTATATCAGTTACTCCTTCTTCTGGTTTTTCTACTTTACCTACTACTTCTGTTGGGGCTTCACTGTTTCAGTCTTTTCTGACTCCGCCTGCTTCCGCTCCTGCCTCCACAGCAACCGTGTTTGGTAAGCCCCCTGGAGGAGGGGATGGACAGAAGCTGCTGTTCGGAGTACCCAGTCAAGGTTTGCTGTTGTGTACTTGTTTGTACAATTTTAAAAAAATACTTTTTTTGTGGCAAAATTATAAAGTTACTCAAAAATTGGGCAAAAGTCTCTGTACTATAGTACAATTTTCAGTATTTATTATTATTAAGCTCCATTCATAATTCTTGCTGCCACCATTTGATTGGTAGTATGGATTCGCTTGTGGAGCATAATAAATCACAATGTCACTTACTCACTGCATCAGCATGTGTGATAATCACATGCTTGTCATGTGACCTGCTAATAGTGATGTACATGTACATATACATGTGTTATATTTTGTTATGCATACATTGTGACTCTTTTAATTTTAATTTTTGTGCTATAGGTTCTGCTCCAGTGTCTAAAGCTCCAGCTCCTCCATCTTTATTCCCACCAATTATTGGAACAGGAATGGGTTCTGGAGGAATGGGAAATACAGGAATGAAAACTGGAGGAATGGAAATGAGTGGTGCAGGAATGAACTCTGGAGGAATCAGGATGAGTTCTGGAGGAACAGGAATGAGTTCTGGAGGAACAGGAATGAGTTCTGGAGGAACGGGAATGAGTTTGGGAGGAATGGGAATGAGTGGTGCAGGAATGAACTCTGGAGGAATGGGAATGAGTTCAGGAGGAATCGGAATGAGTGGTACAGGAATAACCTCTGGAGTAACGAACACTGGGGGAATTGGAATGAGTTCTGGAGGAATGGGAATGAGTTCAGGAGGAACAGGAATGGGAATGAGTTCTGGAGGAATGGGAATGAGTTCCAGAGGAATGGGAACGAGTTCTGGAGGAATGGGAATGAATTCTGGGGGAATGAGTACTAACTTATTTGGAAATCCTACTCCTGGGGGTCAAACCAGTACCACTTCTGGTTTCAATTTTAGCATGAAACCTAATCTAAACTTTGGAAACTCATCACCCTCCCCTTCAACTTTTCAGTTTGGATCCAACCAGCAACAGCATCCGTTACAACAAGGACAGAATGTATTCCAGCAACAGCAGCAGCCATTGCAACAGGGATTACAGCAAGGACAGAATGTGTTACAGCAACAAGGTGGTACCATGCCCTTTGGAATGGGTTCTCAGGGTATTGGAATGGGAGGGGGAGGGTTTTCCGTCGGTAGTGATTCGGCCAGAGGTAAACGACCAATTAAAAAAGCTGTTAGAAGACATCCTAAACTTACTTAGCTGTCTTTTATTTCACTCTCTCTCTCTCTTTTATTATTATTATTATTATTATTATTATTATTATTATTATTATTATTGTAAAAAAGTTGATGACTGATTGGTTTTGTGATTTGTTATGTATGTGTATCAAAAACTGCTCAATTGTTTTCTTTTTGTTTTCATCTTTTCTTGTTTTGAAAGAAAAATAAAAGCATTTGATAATAATTCATTAATGATAATAATTCTCACTGAGTGCTTTCAATACTCCAGTCAACACTGCAGCTCTAACTAACCTCTCACTCTCTCGCTCTCCCTTCACTTCTTCCTTCTATACTGGGAGGACGTCCTATGGTGGAGCCTCCTCTTCCGGTAGACCATCATCATCTCCTTTGTTTAGAAAGAGAACTAGAAACGAGACCAGCCCAACTAGTGTACAAGTAAGTAAAGAAATAGAGAGAGAGAGCAGGAGAGAGTTCAGCATATTTGCACACATTAGCACTTATTCAGTGACAGTGATGACTATTAGTGTTTTATTTCTGAACCAACTCTGTTGTATTAAAAATGTTTCAGCCTTGTCTGAGTCACTGGAATGATATGGTATAGAATAAAATGTACATGTACAGTACATGTATTATTATTATATTTTTGTGCAACAAAAGGTAACTTAATGTTTATTTTTCAATGATACATGTATACTGTATTATCTCTTTTTCTCTCTTAGGTTGGTCCCGTGAAGCGAGCAGTCAAGCCACACCCTCACACCTCACAGTTTCCAGTGGGCGGGGCCAGTCACACGGCTCTTAAGATTCTCGATACCCTCCAGTCTCTAAGCACTCCGCTACAAGACGCTAGGAAACTCCCACTAAGAGCAACAGTGAGTGATCATTATTACGTGTACATTGTACAGTATAACCTCGATTATCCGGACCCCTTTGTCCATCAGGTGGTCCGGATAAGTGAAAAGTCCGGATAATTGAAAAGTCCGGATAATTGAAATGACCTTTAAAACCTTCATATACTTACTCCAAAGAAAAGTTACAACCTTAATCAGCCATAAGGAAGCTAAATCCAAGCCTTGTTACTAGTAGAAAGCCATTAATCAGCAGCATTCCAGTGCTAAACTAGTCTCGCCACGCCCCTTTGCTACCTGCGGAGGAAGGGTCTGGAGACACTCGCAGTAAAAAGCTGTGCTATATGCAGAGAAATCCACGTCCCAATCAGATTGCTCGAACCACGTGTAGGACAAGTAGTCATGTGACCGAAGAGCTCTGTTTAAGACAAAAGAAGAAGAATGAGGACCAAATAAAGGCTGGAAGGAGCCTGTAACACTCCCTGGACTTCTTTCTCAAAGTTTAAGAGCAGCATTATTATGCTGCTTACTACAACGACGCCATGGCACTTATGACGTCATAATAATGTCACGTATTTACAATAAAACGTCATCAATTAAAAGTAAATATTATGGCGCTCTGTAAAGAGCTGCTGCTCTCAAATCTGCAAGAGATGTCCAAGAGGCTTTATTCTTGTCTTCTTTTAGCTGCAAAGCATCTCTTTCAGCTGTTTTGATTGATCTGGTCTTCTCTGGCACATGATGTAGAGCCAACCACGTGGTTTTCTTTGCACACA